GTCAAAATATACACCGGTTCACAAAAACACGTCCTTCTCGGAGAAGAACCGGCAAGAAACTCTTGGGGTCTTTTTGTAAATGGCGTGCTGATGCCCATATATGTAGAGGAGGTAATACGTGAACGTATGTAAGTGGAGCCTGCTCTGCTGCACTAAAGCTATAAGATTTGTGACACAAAATACCGTCAGTCCTATATTATCCTTGCATGGTCATAGAGGCTGCCTCTTTCTTTTCAGTTCAAATATTTATAATATACAGGATCGAAAACCAGTGTATGAGGTAGGTTATGGTTTGCAGATAAGTGTTTATCGAAAACACAAATATTTGGACAGGCTTATCAAAAAGTAAACTCCATAGTAAACTTTGCTCTGAGATACTCCATATTATCACAGTATATGATGAATTTATGTACTGTGATATTATGGTCACGTAATATTATCGAGTCGCACCACAGTCTATATATCCCACTGACTTAGAATTAGAAGTATAGGTATTATATCTCTATCATATATCCATACATTGTACTGTGGTCGCACGGTTCACTTTATTCATATTGATTTTTTTTGTAAGTTGTTGTGTCAATTCAGCTTTATAAAAAACTTTCATTCAATTTCAGAATGCATATAAAGTGAAGTGCGCTTCCCCCAGACTTAATACTGCTGTGTTTCGTACGGTGAGTGTAGAGATCCGGAAACCCTTTTCACTGGAAACGTGGCATCCATCTTAGTCCTCGGTGGTGACAACGCATCTGCATGTTGCTACCTAATCGAGGATAGATGTAGATGTTTATGGGTCACTGCATCCAATTGCCAGTACTGGACTATGTGCTCGTTTGCCGCCTTTATTCTTTAAAAAAATGAACTTGTATAAAGTTATATGCAGTGCGTTAAAATAATTCAATTTGTGCTCACCTGGCTAACGCGTCGTAACATTTATTCTATAAAAAGAGGGAAAGACAATGTTGGAATTTTCGATCAATTGTTTATCGAAGGATAGAATATATAGAATCGTTTGTTAGTGTGCGTCTTTCCAATCGACTACGATGTGGGTGTCTTCAAGAAAACCGCGAACAGAGTGCGCTTTACCATCTCCGGCTACAAGCGCACACGCCATCAGTTGGGATTACGAGTCAAGCGTTACGATTTCTTTATATTTACGCAAATACATGGAATAAAACTAATTTTACAGTCAAGCATTGGTATAATAGGTAACTACCCTGGCTAAAACGCTATTACGACAGTTTGTGGTTGTGTACTTGGTTTTGAAACCATTAGGAAACAACTTTATTTCCACATACATTCAGTCTATTGTTGTTTAGAAATTAATTAATTTATGTAATGTAAGTATTAGGCAATAATAAATTACATAAAAACTTAATAAGTTAACATCCGCGTAATAAAATAAAATGATGTGTGTGTGTGTGGGGGGGGGGGTGCCCTTCAAGCTTGGTAAGAACCTAGCTTGAAGGGCACCTCCCACCCTCCTTTAATTGCGGTGTACACTCTGAACAGCCACCGCAGAGTCTGCTTAACCTGAGGACGCCTCGTGTAGAGGCAAAACACTAGTCGTATTAACGACGTAGCTGTTTTTTTCCCAGTGTAATGGTGTTGGGAATAGTAGTGCTGGGATTAGTGGTGACGGGGATAATGCACGCAATTAAGGGATGGCGGGAGGTTTTCTTCAAACTGCGTAAGACACATCATTTCATCTTATTACACGGTTCTTAGCTAATTCATTTTTAACATCTTAAACTTTTTTGGATTTCCGCTAAGTGAAGCCTGATCGTTTTAATAAATTAGCAACATCAGTTGGTGTTTGCATTTCAGAACCTATCGCCTTGACACGGTCGTACTAACTGACCTGATAGTGTAAGTGTAGTCCATCTTAGGTATTTTTATACTGGAAATCCTGGAAGTCCTATTAATGATACTATATAATACATATGTACATTGTACATATACCAATTGTTTGAGTTAGAGTTACTATTAGTTAGTTGTTTTATCCATCGAATGTGGTTATCAATACAATATTACAATATTAAGTAATTATTCCATTATTGTTAATTTATATGGGTAACATTTCTTTCTTGCTTACCTAATAATATTTTTGTTTGTAATTTTTTTATGGCGCTATACTAGAATGGACGCGACATCAATGTAATCAGCGAACACATCTCTAACTTACACTGGACACTGCTGATGCCAGAATCCAGACCAACAAAATATGCTGAGCAGCTTAAACGAATCCTGCCAAAGCGACGTGTTGAACTGCGTATGAATATGAATTTACTTAGGTAAAGACATATGGGAGCGTTAGATGGAGCGAAAATCTGAGACCAGAGGCTGCTGGCAGTAACTGGATGCGTGAATCCGAAGATCTGGCTTTAATAGGCTGTAAGAATAACTGCATTAAGCTCAGGGAGTAACCTTTGGAACGGATGAACCGTCGTTTTGCCACATTTATGTGGTAGTGCCACGCTTCAGCCGTATTATAGTTATATCATAAATAGGCGAGCTGGCAGCTCAATGCCGCTGTGTTTCGTATGGTGTGTAGAACACCGGAGATCCTTTTTACCAGGTTTACTAGGAGGTAACAAGTTATTCCACCTTAGTCCACTAACAATGCATTTTGATACTTAATTAAGGATAAATGTAGATGCCTATGGGGCACAGCATCTACTCACCAGCAGGTGGACTGCGTGCTTGTTTGTCATTCTTATTCAAAAAAATCTGGTTTAGTTTTCCACGAGGGATTCCTTCGGACCAGGTTATTAATTGCTCTTGAGACTTTCTTGTGCGAAACAAAGATAGTTTCCATGTCGCATTACCGTATAGTAAGATTTCATACAACATTATGCTATGGAAATAACTCAAATAAACTAATCTAGCTATTTCAATACATGTAAGGTCTCTAAAATTTTTACAGCATATGCTGAAAATCTAAGTTTATTTGCTAGTTTAAATATATGGGAGCCCTATTGAAGTTTTGTCAACTATTAATCCGAGAAAAACAGTGGATTCAATAAGACTCACAATGGTTTAATATTTAGTGTTGTAAATTTAATACATTTAGTTTTATATTTATAACCGTTTGAGAGCAAATTGTTGACGTTAATCAGTGCACATACTTACTTTTCAAATATTAATAAACTGCTTTTACGAGAGTAATTACCGTATCCCGACCAATGATTTTTCTATAGCAGGGGACTCAATGAAAGGTCACTAAAATGGCAAAAGTGCATCGACATTCATTTGATTGAATGTATATTTTTATAAAAAATGTTTAAAGTTTTTAACCCAGTTTAAAAAGGAAGAAAGGATTAGAGCCCCGTCTTCAGAATGTGAAATTAATATTTTTAGTTTTATGAAATTAACTTTCACTTTATGTTAAAAGTAATTTTTAAGTCTACATTTTGTAATCACGAAAACTTCAGTACACATAACCGATTTCATTTTGACTATGACGTGACATTAAAAACAATAACAAAGTGATTATAAAATAACTTGAACAATACAAAAGTATTTTATGTAAGTAAACTTGAATTCTGTGTAAATATTATGCTTTACTGTGCGACACGCACCGCTATTCCTCGTCCGATAGTCCTTGACGTCCATCCGCATTCAGCTCACACAAGTCTCAATTTCCACCTCGCATTTACACAATTAGATATAAAAATGTATTACACTCGTACAAAATATCTCTCTACTCGTACATAACTGTGGTAAGATACCTAGTACTATGATAATTCTCTTAAATTATTCCATCAATCGACACTTGCGATAGTTTAACTGCACTTGTGCGTGCTTATGTTTTTTAATAGCAAGTGCGTTGCCCTCATAAAATTGGGCTCCAGTGGACGCGCATTCGGTACAGTGTGATAACTGATAAGTGATGAGCATATTTGAATCTGCTGAGTGAAATAAGTCGTAGTACTATTATTTCTCCTGTGGTTAACATTTCCTTCGTCGTGTAGTGACGGCGTCCACAAGTCCACAGTCCGCTACCGCACACCCAGTGAGCGTCGTAAGAGGTGACAGAGGAAAACGGAAACTGGATGAACTTAGTTTCTACGAACATTATCACGTTTATTAACTTATTATATATTCCCGAAGCTTCGAGTAACTTCTCGAAACGTCGGCAGTATATATACAGCACCCATAGTTGGCTCGTGACCATGGGTGCCATTAAGTACTCATTGAAATGAAACGAGCTATAGTTTCATTGAATGTGTAGTGTGCTTGGAAACAAGAAACCGTTCTGAGAAGGGAATATGCTTAGCGCCAGCCTCTTACTGATGACAACTACTTGCCAAGCGTGCCGACTATGTCAAATACCCCCCCTCACGAGGCGATCTATGGGTGAGGCCTGCGGACGTACAGCACTTCACGTCACAACAGCCTATCGAAGTCCGCAGCATGAACATCCACATGATGAACATTTCCTGTGGTTTATTATAAGTTTAATTACTGAGACGTCCTTCTAGGTTAAACATATAATTACAATTTTAATCGTTAAAATTGTTAGTATAAGTATTTAGTAAAGGATGTGTTGGCAATAACAACAGTTTTTAGATTCATTTTTTTATTAATATACAGTACATTTTCCACATTAATATACTTATCGATCATTTATATTAAGTATTTAAGTATTTATTTAATGAAATGCCGCTATCTACTTATTCATACTAACTTTTGTTTATTCATAATAACAAATTTTAAACACGTCTTCTGATAATGCTCATCAGCCATCAGCCCTCCTCAGTTCTACATTAATTTATTTATTTTTGTAACCCACTTTGGCCTTTTCATTTTATAACTTTTATATGATCATTGATAATTTTTACCATTTTACCGATCGGACATCTAAGTGAGCGTCAACCGATTGTCTAATGTAAATATGATATACTTGTGGCGAATTATAATTAACTTATTTATAGCTTTAGAATACCTGTAAATCGTTTTTTTAAATCATATTATTAAATAATTCTTTAGTAAACTTCTTACTGCTTAAATTTTTTGAATGGATTGGTATCAGTATTTTTTTTCTTTAAGGTTATTATTAAATTCTTAAGTGATTCATTTCTCTTCTGCAGTCGTCTAATCTTTTGGTTTAATATTTTTATATTCTTTCTTTGACCATCAATTCTCTGCACTTGCTTACTGAGATCGTACGACGAGCACTTCATTCGTTTCGCGGCATCATCCTGCCAAGTAGGTGAGTTCGAGCTTGATTCAAGTGGTGCTGGCTGCTCGATTTTACTTACTGCTGGTCCAATGTTGGTTGATACCTGTAAAAGCAAACAAAATACTATAAATTAATGTCTCATTTATAAATAAAGACAAGATTTCACTAAAAATGTAAACATACTTGTATAAGCGGAACAGTTGTGTTAGACACAGGTAACAACAGCGGCTTAAAATCACTTGCTACTGCATTGTTTGAAGATACTCGTACCTCCTGCAAGTCAGTAACAACCAAATGGTATTAATTTCCATTCATAACATATTCAATACTTCATATGTATTACAAAGCAAAATTTGCCGGTTGTACAGAATTGGATATGTTTGGTATAACTGACAATGGCCATTCAAAATGACTTTTTGCTGCTCCGATTTTCATTTAACAGATCTACTGCCGTCGTGTTAATTTGAATGATCAAGGCAGGCCATTAAGTGAGATGATTACTGCTCTACTGCAACTCGGACTGATTATACCTACCTATGAAAAGTTGACGAAATGATTCCGTATCCCCTTGTTTCCTCGTCTAAAACTCGAGCTATTTTTTTAAAATTAAAAATAATCTGAGGACTGTTGTGGCTGTCTGTGTGTTTTTTATTTTTATGTTAGTTAATTTATTTTTGTCGGTTATCCGAAAATGGCAATTTTTATAAATTTGTAAGAATTTAAACGACACCCGAGTATCCTATCAAAGAGTAAGATGTAATAATTTTCTAAATAATAAAGCATACTTGTGGCAAAAGAAAGCTCGTGCTCGGCATATGTAGCGGTTTCCACTCAACATCATTCGCCTCGGACCCTTCATTTGTTGAAATCTAAAAGAAAAACTGTGTCATAGTGAGAATTTTAAAAATGAAACTAAAGCTTAGAGTTCTTTGTGTACATACCTGCTGTAAAGACATGCTAGATAAATCTAGGTTGTTGTCGAGATTGCTATTTCCTGGCATCTGATGTACGCCTTTCTGGATTAGCTTATTATTTAGGGTTATCTGCGCCTGGTCTATGCCAACAACGAAGTCATAAGCCGTATATAACGCCTTGACGCACGCAGAACAAATGGTTGTTGGAAGATGTTCTTGGCTGAAGTCAATATTAGTGTTCAACCTTTTTGTCATTTTTACTACCAGTTTTCTCAAGGCATCATCACTCAGAATGTTTAATAGCTCGCCAACGCAATCTGAAGCGGCACATAATCGACAATATTCGATTATTTCTTCCTTTACAAGCACCGGCACCTAAAATAATATTTTGTAAGAAGCATTCCTTCAATTAACATATTTTTAGTAAAAAAGTATTTGTTACCATCATTACAGCCCTTCACAAGCCTACTGCTGAACATAGGCCTGCCCCCAAGGAATGCCACAAAGCACTGTGCTGAACCACCTTCATCCATCAACTTTCTGCATATCTTACCAGCTCGTCACTCCATCTAGCAGGGAGGCCGCTCTACACTTCACTTACCGGTACGAGGTTGTAGGTGGAGAACCTTTCCTCCCCATTGTTTGCACATGTTGCCGGTTGTCCATTCCTCGAGTTATACGACCAGCCCATTGCCACTTGATATTGTGCGGATAACCTCATTCCTAAGTATCACGCAGAGAATCCTCGAGCACAGCTCTCTCCACAGCTCTCTGGGCGATTTTAAGTTTCTTCACGTGGCCAGGTGCGAACCCGCCTGCCAAGCGTGCCAACTATAGCAAACGTCACTCTTGACGAACGACACAAAGTAAAACAGTATTTGTTGTCATTTAAATACCTAATTATAAGTGGAGAATCTTTTAATAAATTAAACAATAAATAATTCGTCATACTTGCGTCGTCAACAGAGTCGATGTCGTGCTGAGTGATGTTGACCCCGGTGGATCCTTTGCTACTTCTACATTTGATGATTCCTTTAAAAAATATTATTTTTTAAATATGGTTGAATTAACAACAAAACCTTACAACCACAAAAGCTAAATCAAAAAATACACATACCTGCAGGATAGTAGGCGAAGAAGACGTTTTTTGCTTTTGGATGTCTGGAAGGTTCAATAGTAACTGCAAGTTAATAAATATTTGTATAGGATCAGGCTTGTTCCATACGTGTTAATAACTTTTAGACAGATAGGTAAAGTGTTATAATACAGTTTTACCCATAGCCATATAAAATAAAGAACCTTTTAATAAATTAAACAATAAATAATTCGTCATACTTGCGTCGCCGACAGAGTCGATATCGTGCTGAGTGATTTTAATCCAGGTGGATCCTTTGTTACTCCTTCAACATTTGATGATCCCTTAAAACAATATTAATGACTAAGTATGATTGAAATTAACAACAAAACAAAATAAAACAACTACAAAAGCTAAGTAATCCAATAAATACATATACTACCTGCAGGATAGTAGGCGAAGAAGGCGTTTTTTGCTTTTGGGATTCTGGAAGGTTCGATAGTAACTGCAAATATATGTATAGGATTAGACTTGTTCTATACGTGTTAATAATTTAGATAGATAGCTTAAGTGTTATAATTTATTAAGTATATAATTTTGTTAAGAAAGGACTGATGCATTGCATCGGCGGCGTTGCAAGTGTTACGAGTGGAATAGTTTGGGTTGTCATGTGAAACAAAATTTCCCTTTTTTATAAAAAAAAATTAAAAATATAACATAACTTTGATACAATAATAATTATTATTACGTAACTAATGTAAATAAAATATTCGACAGTAAAAAATTTAAAAATATAACATAACTGATACAATAATAATTATTATTACGTAACTAATGTAAATAAAATATTCGACTGTAAAAATTTAAAAATATAACATAACATTGATACAATAATAATTATTATTACGTAACTAATGTAAATAAAATATTCGACAGTAAAAAAATTAAAAATATAACATAACTTTGATACAATAATAATTATTATTACGTAACTAATGTAAATAAAATATTCGACTGTAAAAATTTAAAAATATAACATAACATTGATACAATAATAATTATTATTACGTAACTAATGTAAATACAATATTCGACAGTAAAAAATTTAAAAATATAACATAACTTTGATACAATAATAATTATTATTACGTAACTAATGTAAATAAAATATTCGACAGTAAAAAATTTAAAAATATAACATAAATTTGATACAATAATAATTATTATTACGTAACTAATGTAAATAAAATATTCAACTGTAAAAATTTAAAAATATAACATAACTTTGATACAATAATATAATTATATTGTATTTACATTAGTTATACAATAATATAATTATTGTGTAACTAATGTAAATACAATATTCGACTGTAAAAATCTAGGAGCTTAGTCTTAGATTTCGATTGAAATCGGCGCAATAAAAACGTATTGATTTCAATTAATATTATTACGCTTTATACAGGCATTTAATCTGTCTGGCCACGAACCTATGGATTTACGCTCTGTTTCCATGGGAAATTTCGCCACTGCTTGCTCCAGAGATTTTTTAAGAGACTCAATGTCGCCGTGGAGCAAGCTATGTTCTCTAAAACTGACCATAATTTGTAGTCTAACGGGTTGAGGTCTGGACTAATGCGGACCAGTCTTTAGCTCTGCTTTCAAGTCAGGCTTGGGTAGTTCGTGCCATGTGACCAGGTGCAGAGTCCTGCTGGAAAGTTCACGGTACATTTTTAAAAAGTGTATTGCTGAGAGGTTTCACAACACGATCCAAGACTGTCTCTTGATACACTTTGGCTGAAGTTTTCACTCCTTTTTCACAAAAATGTAGCTTTGTGACGCCTTGATAAGACACGCCCCACCAAACCATCACTGACGCAGGATAATGACCACCCTGTGCCTTTCCGACCACTTTAACAGCTTCTTTATAACTATGAGCATACACTTTATCATTTTGCTTATTGTAGTGCTCTTCAATCGTGAAAAATTTTTCATCGGTAAAGAGGATATTTCTGTGCCCTTCACCTGCGTATCGCGACAGAAGGCATTTTGATCGATCCAGTCTCTTTAATTGTAAAGATTGATTTAGGGCATGTCTGATAAGCACCGAGCTTCAGGTCCTGTTTTACTCGTATAATACGTGTCCTAGTCGGAATCTTCATTTCTCGCGATAAGATTTTTTGTTTCCTAATGGGATTTCGACGAATTCTGGCTTTAACAGCATTTACTGCCTTTGTAGTTCTAGCAGCACGCGGCCGCCCCGATTTTTTATGGACTTCGATAGAGGAAGTGTTGTTGTACCTGTTGATAGTACGATATACGAACATACAGCTGATACCAAGCTTTTGAAGTGCCTGCAATATGACCGACGGCTCCATACCCAATTCGTGCAAAGCGATCACCGCAATCCTATTTTCTTTAACACCTCATTCCATATTGTAATTTGATAATGAACACGAAAAAAATGTGAAATGGCGTGAAATCGAAAGAACTTTTAGAAATAATAAACGCGTTCCAAATTTAAAATAAAGTTGAAAAAAAGAAAAGTTTTTATGTAACAGTGTTTATGGCCAGACTAGTTATTATACAAAACTTACATTATGTTATTGGAACGAAACGGAAAACTGCTGGCACATATCAGGAAGTTAGGTCTGAAGTTAACTGCGCTTAATTGCACTTCGGCTACTCAAATAATAAGTTCCACCACCTTATTATTCCGTCACCAAGAAGATGGTGATAGTATACGTAATTCATTACAAATTTACTGAAATTTATAATGAATCATTATGAAATTACTGAAGAAGATGATAAGTTAACCAGACGACTATTATCTGTTTTTTTTTTAACAAAGTAGGACCGAAAATTTTCACTGTGTTGTTATTGGTCCACGTAATCGACATAAAGTTCGTTTTACACCAACGCTGTAGTTACATATGCACACTCTTTTGCATGGATAATATATTATATAGGGCATAGATGAGCCACTCTGACAATGAAATAATACTAGTTTTTTACGGAATTTATCTCGTATATTTAACTTTTTAAATACCCGACGTTTCGAGAGCTTTACAGCACCCATGGTCACGGGAAGGACTGAGATGTTCAACGTCCAGCTGTCATAGTTAACCGCGGTTACCATAGATTAAAATTTAACTTTTGTTCCGATCTACACAGTATGAACTTATGGTATCATGGAGTCTTGCAGTTGTATGCTTATATAATATATAAATAAAATTAAATCCCAACCCAAGCATACAACTGCAAGACTCCATGATACCATAAGTTCATACTGTGTAGATCGGAACAAAAGTTAAATTTTAATCTATGGTAACCGCGGTTAACTATGACAGCTGGACGTTGAACATCTCAGTCCTTCCCGTGACCATGGGTGCTGTAAAGCTCTCGAAACGTCGGGTATTTAAAAAGTTAAATATACGCGATAAATTCCGTAAAAACTAGTATTATTTCAATGTGTAGTATATAAGAAATCACTCTGACAAATTTATATGTGATGAAACGAGGAAAGTTTCTTTTGTGCTGTCATAGATTGCGTTGGGATTTTAAATTACGAAAACATACACTAGAGGGCGCTATAAATCTTAAAGAATATGTTGTTAATAGAAAACCAACTAATTTGCATTATATAAATTATGATATAGCTTCTTTCAAGACACCATGATTTGAATCACTACTGTAAATTTTGGATATATTGTGTATTTATACCGCAGTATTCTAAAACTTTGATGGCATGATTTCGACTCCGGTATAAATGATAAATGTCAGCAGTGACCCCATCTTTTGAATACAATGTGTAAGTTAGTGGGGCAAATAGTGTTTTTACTGACTATGAGGTGGCGCTAGTATCAACGTTAAAGCAAGCTACTGAGAAAACACGAGGGAAAGAACACACAAGCATGCGTAATTAATATTGTATAACAAGCGCGCTGCGACACTCGAGGGGGAGCTGAGTAATACCAGCTCTTGAATATTTCCCATCAGATTAAGTACTCTTTGACATTTTTATTTGTTTCTATGTATACTTATTTCGATTTGCATAACTATAAAAGTACAATTGTCATGTAAATCATGACAATTGAACTTTTAATTTATTTAATTTAATTTGATATTAATTATGTATATATTGACTTGCTTACTTATAAAAATAATGATTTAATATATTATGTTAAATATTTTCACACATGTCAGATGTGGTAAACATGTGGAATATGTACAACTATTTGTCATCTTTATACCATGTTTAATGAATAAATAATATTCTTAATTTTTTTGGTATTTATATAGTTATTTTTGGTATTTATGTAGTTTTAGTTTTATAAATATATAAATTAAAATGGTGGATATACATACATATCAATAAAATAAAATATATAAATAAATAAAACCCAACCAGATCGGAGACCTCGTGTAAAAACTAATGATTATTATTATAAAATTCTTATTAGTTGTAACCCATCAGGTTGTGCCAAGCCGCTTACTTGTTTCGTATTTATCGAGGATTCTGTTTCCGTCGCTGACAAAAACAGACACTGTAACAAAAAAAAAATTGAGATTAATAAAATATGAAAACTACCCTCTCCAATCTAAGCTTGATGTGTGTTATTGAAAGCCATACTGCAGAATTTTTTCATTACTAATTTAAAAAGAAAACACTTGTTTCAAAACATATCGTACCTTGTTTGGTACCGATCCATGCTTTAGCCGTCGTAATCCTGTTTTTGTTAAATATAAATCATCATCAGCGAAATGTGCGGAACATACGACTGAAGTCTTGTGAGGTTTCCACTGGTCTTCATTTCGTGTCCGCTGTATAATGTCTCTCCAGCAATTTGCTAGTACGAAATCCGTAGGAAATCTGAAACCCAAAATATTAGAAAAAACTAACAAAAATGCTATTTAGTGCATGACGTCATGGGTTTTATTTATTTTGTGTAAGTTACCCGTGTAGTGGCGGTTGAGAATATCCACTACCACATATCTTCCCGTGGGTGTCGTAAGAAGCAACAGAGGGAGACAGACAGGAGATGGGCAGCAGCATCTTCCTAATAACAACAATAACATAATAAAAAACTGCGGTTGCCAACCCGCTCGCCAAGCGTGGCAACTATGGCAAATATCCCCTCATGAGCAACGACGCAAATAAACGGCCCCCAGTCCCCGGCGGCCCCGCTATTCCTGGCTACGGTGGCGACCATGGTAACGGCGGGGCAGGGGGTGCTAAGAATCTCCGGTGGAGGTTCGGTTGCCACCTACGACGACTCGACCTGGCAACGTATAACGCACGCACCCTGAGGACTGACGAGAAGATACTGGAGCTGGAAGAAGAGGTAGACAAGTTGCGCTGGCATATTATTGGATTATCTGAGGTCCGAAGAGAGGGGGAGGACACGGTAATCCTCGAGTCCGGCAACTTGTTCTATCACCGGGAGAGCGACCATCTGTCCCAAGGAGGTGTCGGATTTATCGTCCACAAGTCTCTCGTCAACAACGTTGTAAAGATTGGGAGTGTGTCGACGATGGTCGCGTACCTGATACTCAGAATCACCAAACGGTATTCGCTGAAGGCCATACAGGTCTACGCACCAACCTCGGCACATCCCGATGAGGAGGTGGAGGAAATGTATGAGGATATTTCTAGAGCCATGCATTCCTCCAAAACCCACTACACGGTGTTGATGGGAGACTTCAACGCAAAACTAGGCACAAGAGAAGGCGGTGAGCTGAAGGTGGGGAAATTTGGAGTAGGGCAACGGAACCGAAGGGGCCAGCAGCTGGCTGACTTTATGGAGAAAGAGGGACTCTTTATGATGAACTCTTTCTTCCAGAAGCGGCCCCACAGGAAGTGGACCTGGTCGAGCCCCGACGGTTCGACAAAAAATAAGATTGTCTTCATTATGACGACCAGACGCCAACTGTTCAGTGATGTCTCAGTGATCGCAAGGGTTAAAACCGGCAGCGATCACCGAATGGTTAAAGGCACACTGAACCTAAACGTTAAGTTGGAGAGGTCTCGTCTAATGAAGTCAACGCTCCGTCTCCCTCGTGCTCTAATCCAGAATCCCGAGACTTTTCAGCTCGAGTTACGTAACCGCTTCCAGTGCCTAGAAGATTGCAATGCAGTGAACGATATGAATGACAAGCTCGTGGAAACTGACCATGCGGTCGGAGCTTAGCTCCGACAAGACCCGCCGCAGAAGAACACAAAAACTCTCCGATCACACTCTTAATCTCATGGCTGTTAGACGGGAGATGAGGCTGCAATCGTCAACAGATTTGACAGCGTACAGGCAACTGAACAGACAGATCTCCAAATGCGTGCGGCGAGACTTACGCAACTTAAATACTGCTCGTATTAAAGAAGCGATCGAGCGGAACCAGGGCTCCAAAGTCTTTTCCAGAGATTTCTGCCAGAAAGAGCCAACTGTCAAAGCTGAAGACTGAGTGCGGCAGCATCGTTTCCGGGACACCTGAGATTTTGAGTGAGATTGAGAGGTTCTATGGACAGCTGTACACATCATCGTTGGAGCCACACGCAAGTGTGAGTAACGATCCAAGAGCAAGTCTTACCCGACACTATTCCAATGATATCCCGGACGTTAATCTGAGCGAAATTAGAATGGCTCTCCAGCACCTTAAAAACGGCAGGGCCCCAGGCGAGGATGGAATTGCAGCGGAGCTTCTGAAAGCGGGTGGAACACCGGTACTTGAAGTCCTTCAGAAGCTCTTCAATTCCGTCCTCCATGGTGGCACTACTCCGGAGGCGTGGAGCAGAAGTGCGGTGGTCTTGTTCTTTAAGAAAGGCGACAACGCTCTCTTGAAGAACTACAGACCGATTTCCCTTCTGAGCCGCGTCTACGTGCTGTTTTCGAGAGTCATTACGAATCGTCTCGCACGCAGACTCGACGACTTCCAGCCTCCCGAACAAGCCGGTTTCCGAAAAGGCTTCAGTACCATAGACCACATACACACCCCGCGACAGATTATACAGAAGACCGAAGAGTACAATCTGCCACTTTACCTGGCGTATGTGGACTATGAGAAAGCCTTTGATTCCGTCGAAATTTGGGCGGTGCTACAGTCCCTTCAGCGGTGCCAAGTTGACTGTCGGTATATCGAAGTGCTAAAGTGTTTGTACAGTAGGGCTACGATGGCTATCCGAGTACAGAACCAGAGTTCGCAACCTATCCAACTGCAGAGAAGTGTAAGACAGGGTGACGTTATATCCCCGAAACTCTTCACCGCTGCGTTGGAAGACGTTTTCAAGCTACTGGACTGGAAAGGATACGGTATTAACATCAATGGCGAGTACATCACTCACCTTCGATTTGCCGACGATATAGTCCTTATGGCAGAATCGCTGGAGGACCTTAGCACTATGCTCAATGGTGTCTCCCAACGGATAGGTCTTAAGATGAACATGGACAAAACAAAGATCATGTTTAATGTCCATGTCACACCTATGCCGGTAGTTGTTGGGAGCACTATGCTCGAAGTTGTTGACGAGTACGTTTACCTGGGACAAATAGTCCGACTTGATAAGTCCAACTTCGACCGAGAGATCAACCGACGGATTCAACTCGGCTGGGCAGCGTTCGGGAAATTACGACACATCTTCTCGTCAGGTATACCTCAATCTCTGAAAACTAAAGTGTACAACCAGTGCGTGTTGCCAGTGATGACTTACGGATCAGAGACTTGGTCCTTGACTGCTGGCCGTATGAGGACGCTCAAGGTCGCTCAGCGAGCTATGGAGAGGGCTATGCTCGGAGTTTCTCTTCGTCATAGACTCAGAAATGTGGATATCCGCAGTAAAACCAGAGTGACCGACATAGCCCAACGGATTAGTAAGCTGAAGTGGCAATGGGCCGGCCATATAGCTCGAGGAACCGATAACCGATGGGGAAGAAAGGTTCTCGAGTGGCAGCCTCGTACCGGTAGGCGTAGTGTAGGGCGACCCCCCACTAGATGGAGTGACGACCTGGTAAGACATGCAGGAAGTCGGTGGATGCAGGTGGCTCAGGACCGTGCTTTGTGGCATTACTTGGGGGAGGCCTATGTTCAACAGTGGACTTGTGAAGGGCTGTAATGATGATGATGATGATGAAGTAAGTTACCATTTTCTGATCAAATATGTAAAGTAATTAGCCTACATATGAAGTTTATAAGGCACGCTTAGAGCGTATTCAGAAAAAGATTTTAAAATCTTTAAATTTCAGGTACGACGGCACTGCACACACATTTATGTCTCATAGTGATAATTGTCGTCAATTTAATCTTCTCACGTTAGGGGAACGCCGTGAGATATTAGACACGGGTTTTTTGTGCTATATTTTACGCGCTCAACTTGATTGCCCTGTTCTGCTTTCGCAAATATCCTTTAAAGTGCCCTTTATTCGGTGTTCCCTTACATCATACTAATTATGGAAAGACTTGTGTCCTCACCAGAATGGTTATAATTTTTAATAGTAAATTTTCTCATATTGACCCATTTATCCATTCAAAAAATTTATTTGAGCGAAATATAGTACAGGCTTTGACTGGAGTAGACAATTAACCATTACTGTTTATATAATGATTTCTTAAATTTACGCGAACACTACTTATTTTAATAGAGAAGATGGTTGGGTGCTACCATCTGCTTGGGATCCTATAATTAACAAAATTAAACCCAAACCCAAGCATACCACTGCAAGACTTCATGATACTATAAGCTCGTTTTGCGTAAATCGGACCAAAAATTAATATTAAAAAAACTGAAGGTAGCCGGACTAACTATGACATTGGGACGTCAAACATCTCAGTCCCCCCGTGACCATGGGTGCTGTAAAGCACCCGAAACGTCGGGATAATAATAAAAATAAATTAAAGTAATTAAACGCGATAAAATCCGTAAATAATAGTTTTATTCATTACTGTTTATGTTGGTAGCCTCTGTAGTTTTGTAAATCCGCAGTAACATCTCAAGTTATGTGTCTTCAATTCGCTAATTGACACAAAAAGAATTTAATATAATGTATGTTTGTGAACGTGTACATGAGTATATTGTATGTATGTATATTTATTTAAATGTTAGTATATGTATATACTTGCCTATATGTATAAGTGTTTAATTATAATATGGTTATATGTATATATGTATATGTGTGTGCTTACATATGTTAATATTATCCCATTGAAGCATAATTTCCTAGGTCAGCCATGACAAACTTTATAAATTAAGTATTGTTTTTGATCAAAGGTTTTGTAATTTTCTTTTCAACTTTTCATACTTCTGATTTGTGCTAAATTGTGAAAAGTGGATGACTATGGCCCTATGTAAAACATATTATATAAGATTTCTTTTCACAGAATGCAGGCTGATGTTATCCCTAATAAATAAATAAATAATTTTTAAAATAATAATATTCTCCTGATTGAAAGATGATGTACCTAATAAATATTTGTATGTTGTCTTCCATAGTTTCGCCAAAATTCCCTAGTAATAAACTGACAACACCGGCTAATCAGACTAACCTACAAAGTAACGAATTATATAATCGTGTTTTCTTAAAATAATAGTGGTTAAATTACAAAACTTACCGATGAAAAGTGATCTTGGTGTTATTATACGGTTTTCCCACATAATTTCGACACAATTTAACAGCACAAACCGGCATAATTAATTATTTTTCGTGAGCACGTTATCCCTAAGTGTTTCAAGTGACACTGACGTAAGTGAGAAGCGAGTCTACCAATTATAGTAGATTTTATTTGGGCCGTTCGGTACGGTCGATATGGCATCTAGACAGGTACAGTAGAACCCCGGTAATCTTGTCGGTCTATGGAGAACTGCCACAGCAACTCTGCAAGTTGAGA